TTATGCGTACGTTTCTATATTTCTAGGTTAACGGATTGCTTGCATGCTTATAGTCGATGTAAATTCCGAGATTATGTTCAATGAAAGGTGGTTTCTTCAGTTCAATCGAGCCGAGAGACTGAGAGTATTCGTCCGTCGACGTGAGACTTTCGGCATGTTAATCCCACGGAAAGATAGCCATATCTTTGATGAGACTTTCCGCATGAACACTGTGATTGGAATCGAACGTTTTCGCGGTTGATGAATGAGTTGTTTTTTGTGCGGACTGTTGCGGTCGGGAAATTGAGAAGGCTGCTGTGTTGAAATGATCGCACAGTTGACGGATCTTAAATTGTTGCAGTTTTAATCAGAGTCAAGGTTATGCCATTATTTTACAACTTTTCACATTTTCACAGTTGTACTTTCCAGAATTTCGCTGTTTTGACCGTCTTTAAAGTTGAAATTAGTTCTTTCAGTAGGCGTTTGAATTGACCTGAACTAATCATTTCAAACCAACTCAGTTACATTACTCCTTTTCTGCTAAATAATGAAAATGAATAGTGATCATTCTGCGATCATTGGGCATTACCCCAAATACATCAGCAGATGAGTTATGATTCTGAAAACTTCGATGTGATATAAGTGTCTGGTAAATGAAAGCAATAAACATTCGAATGAATTCTCATACCACACAAATGCCATAATGTAAATGCGCTAATGTGGTTGTAAGAGCCAACGTTCGAATGATGAGCAGTTCCGTGAATACAGTAACATTACTGCATAGTGGTATCGCTGCACCAATACAGTACACAGCCAACAGCCAGTTGAAGGTTTGTGCGCGTGTTCGCGTGGTTTGTGCCATTATTAGTCGACACTGAAAGGATACGTCAAGCTGCGATTGCTACTGTATGCACCGTGTTGTTAATTGACGAACTGGGAAATAGACAACTGATCAATTCACGTTGGGAACCACTGTAAAATTGAAATTTTTCCTTTTTTCTTTTTATCTTTGGACTAAATTTTCTCAGCGACAATTTTTTCCAAGGAGAGGAATTTCTCTGTTTCCGCATTGAAATCTACAATTCTCGTTTTCAATGTTTAATTTCCATCGAATGTTCACTAAGATAAACAATAATGTTCCACCGAATGCCAATCGGAATGGATGTTTAGTGATTGGTCATGAATGCACTCAATGATTTGTGATCGATCATTCGTCTTGTCAACGTTATGATTAATATGCGTCCTAAGCGTTCAGATAGCCACGAAAAATCAACCATAATATTCGAGAAGACACTTCCCATCGTCCAAAAAAAGCAACGTGGATCAACACTGATAATATCGTTCGGTGAATAATGAGCCCAGACGATGGAAACAGCGAAGAAGATGCTTGATGGAAATAACGGCAAGAAGGCTTCGTATGCGTTTGGCTGAAGAATTCAGATCAAATTACTTACGATCAGTTCGAATCAGAAACGAACTGCTATTGGTAATACTGCAACAAAGCAACGATTCATTCTCTGAACACATCACCACTGTTTGCTTGGTATAATCAGAAACGTTGAAGGTATTCGATGGAGATTAGTCTCATAATCAGAAGTCAGAAGCGTTTCTTCGGAAGGTATAAAAAGAAGAAATCTTCTCAATACCTGCAGACCGCTTTTACGAACGAAGTATGCTGCGTACACTTTGGAGAGTGAGAACGGTACAGAGCAAATATTAATAACTGAAAATCAAACGTTCAGTTAAAATTAAATTTCGGACCTTCTAACGTACAGTCAACAAAAACTACAGAATATTCGAAGCAAGAGTTGAACGGTTGATAATAAAAGCAAAATGAAGATCAAAACTTTTGAAGAGAGAAATCAAAAGGCTATGAAAAATTGATGCGAACTGTAAAATCCAAATTCCAATATGATTGCCGGTTTTATAAACCCAAAAATGTAGGTCTTATACGATTCATATCCCAATATATACGTCAGCAAGTAGGATCCCATTATCGACTACAATTAAAATTGTTTAAACATCAGTCATAATATTAATCTTTCAACAGAAATCTTCGATTCAAGAGAGGAACTCGCTTGAACAGTATGAATTATAACTGAAACTGATCTCAAAATGTGCAAGATTGGCATTGAATTCCATATCATAAACAAAACTTGATACATTCAAATGGCATAATATTTCAGGATATCGCCAATTTTCAGTCTTGAACTACAAATGTACTTTTTATTTTCAGTACCATTATTAAATAATTTTGATGTTATTCTCAAGTTACATTTTGATGTGATTTCTGGAGACAAATTCAAATTGTCAAATAACATGAGTATAGCATATCATCTAGAAATGATGAAGAATATCAATTTTGAATTGTGTTTCATACGGTAATGTTACGATTGAACACTTGAATTAATAGCTCTTCACCGGTATTTTCATTCTTCATTATAGACAACTTACCCACATCCCGATGTCGTATTCCCATGACATATAAAGCACACCAGTGTTGTATTTTTCCCAATGATGAATAAGATAATCAATTTGAACACTCAATAACACGTACATTATGTTCACGAATGGTGTGCTGCAATTCCAGTTATTATTACTGTTACTACATTGCTTATCACTGATTTCAGTGTTATTATTATTTTTACCATTATTAGCATTATTATTATTGTTATTATTATTGCACTAAAGACATTTTAGGCTTTGAACATCAATTAAAATGAATGCTAGACGTTATCTGGATAATCATTATAGGATCTCTCCAAGTTGATAGTATTGGAACAAGATTAATTTCAATAGCACTAACGATAATAGTGATATTAATATCAGTGATATTGTTAATGATAATAATAATAATATTATTATTATTATTACAATACTGATAATATTAAAAATAACAATAATAATAACCCGAATTCGCCACGCCCCATACTCGAGAACATTGTTAATGCCACAGGCACCAGTGCCCAAGTGTCGATACCATGATCGACTTAAATTAAATCAATTTTAATAACCGATTGAATAATTCGTTCGATTAACTTATAAGTGGGTCACTTATTAAAATCTCTTTTCTCGCAATCTCTCATCAACTCTCTGTTGACGGCCCTCGATATCACTTGGAAATGACTCTCAAGCTGAACTTACAAAATTCTCCGATTGGACTCGACGTTCCGGTTCTTCGTGCTTGTTTCCCGTCCATACCATCGAGCGCATATGATGCAAAAAAAGTGATCGCCATAAAGAGCCAAACCCAGTTGGGTATTGCCGCTTCAATATGACAGTTTAATATGACAGTTTACTATCTTTTTTGTTTGTTTGTTCATAAATTTGACGATGATAATTACATTAATTGCTGATACTATCACCATTCTCATTGCGATACACACAACTACATCCAAACATACAACTTCTTTCATTCATTTTTCTCTATCATTTCCCTAATTTATTCATCGTTCTTTAATAATGATCACTTCAAATGGGACAAACTTG